TTGAGCCTGTGCATTATAATTGTGATAAATAGAAACATGTGCCATTCTATATTGGTGGTTTGAAAATGAAACTAAATTGTTTTTCATCCAAAGTTCAAAAGGTTCAAACTGAATGCACCCTGCAGTGGCAGACAACAAAACTGCAGTGCCTACTTATAATCAACAGAATATTGCTGTGTATTAGTGTGGTAAGATATTGGTATAGTTATCATTATAAATATTGTTCTAGGTGTAAATGTTTAGAAAGACATGAGGTGGCTGAAAAACTTCTGATTGAATTGGAATGGTTTTGATTTTCTTGGTGAAACATACATTTAAATGTACTTTAATAATGACCAATAAGACAAAAAAAGTCAAGTTAAACTCACCAATGCATAAGGACTCTCCGTGTTTTATTTGTCCATGTTCCACAGCATGGATGAGCTTGTGGCTGACGTGTGTGCTAACTCTAACTCCGCTCACACACAAAGCCAGAATACCCAGAGAATACTGGTAATAGTTGGTCTTCGGACGATGACTGACTGCAGAAATGAATTATTGTTAATACTGACTATAAAATGCAGCAAAATTACTGTATATGCACTACTACTGTATGTAAAGGTTTGTCGTCAATTAGATTTCATTTTTGACACTGATGCATTCACTCAGAAATAATGTAATTGTTAGTAAAGACATTTATAATTTACACGTTAGAATAAATATTCATGTATTCCATCAGGAAAACAAATATCACACAAGAATGTTAAAAAATAGTTCACCCAAAAATGAAAATCCTGTCATCGTTCACGCTTCCTTCACTTGTCACAAACCTGTTTGGCTTTCCTTCTTCTGCTGAACACAGTAAAAATATTTTGAAGAGAGCTGAAAACCAGTAACTATTGACTTCCATAGTATTTGTTTTCCTACTTGAGAGGTAAATGGTTACAGCATTCTTCAAAATATCTTCCTTAGTGTTTTAACGGAATAAAGATGCTTATAAAGTTGAGGGTGAGGAAATAGTAAGTACTTGTAATTTTTATGAACTATCATGTTTTCAACATTGACAATAATTTCACAAAATTGCTGTTTTGCTGTATGTTAGATTAAATAAATCTGGCTTTTCTAAGCATTACACGTCTTTCAAAAACAATACAGAGTGTTACCAACCCCAAATGATGTGATTAAAAAATTGTGTCATAAAGAAATTGCTCTCACATGCAATGTTTTGTTTCTCTTCCTCCATTTCTTTCTTAAGGTGAGTTAGGAGGAACTCATTCTTCTCATTGTGATTGAGGTGTAAACTCAGATCGTGACAGGAGGACCTCAAGGCCAAGATGTACAGGGCGAGACGGCCAACCACCAACTCACCATTTCTCAGAGATCTACAAGAAGTGTAGTGGAACAAAAGGCAATTAAATTAAAGCAGAAAAATGAAGTAGAATTATAGAAAAGTCTATATTTATGCATAATGACACAACTCATGTGACTGTAACAGATACAATAATTCCCGAACATTACTGTATGTTATTTAGAGAATCAAAAGCTATTGAACATTTAAAGAACAAATAACGAAATAAGAAACTGCTGCTTTAAAGTTGAAGCTGAAAAGATTTGTACTTCTCAATATCCTCATGAAACTCTTTCTTGAGGCGGTTGAGATATTGGTTTTCTTTGTCCAGGTTATGTTGTGTGGAGAGCCGCAGAGCGATGTGCACACTGGGATTGGGCAGGTTGTCTTGTGTGTCCACAGAGCGCAGAAGCTGCTTATTGAGCGACTGGAGAAGAGTTTCGTGATCTGATGCTGATGGTATTAGAAAAAGAAACAGAGAGTAAGAAATTTCATGCAGTCAGACAGACTTGGTCAAAAATATTGGCACCTTTGTAAATATGAACAGGTTGTGAAAATAAATATGTATAGTTGATCCTTTATTTCTCTTGTTTAAAAAAATCTAACTAAAAATCATAACTTTTATTGAAATAAAATAATTGAACATATGGGTGAGTGGTGGGATGGATTGATCATTAAGGTCTTGTTAGAGAGCGTCTCTTATATTCTGCAACTTCCTAGTTGTAATCCTTTAAGAATATTTACCAATACAGTAAGATGTGGTCTTTCAGGCAGATTTATAACTTCACCATTTCATTGGAACTTCCTAAACAGACAGTTCACCCAAAAATAAAAATGTACTCCCCATTTATTCACCGTCAGGTGGATCCAAATCAATTTCTTTCTCCCGTTGAACACAAAAGAAGCTATTTTGAAGAATGTTGGAAACATGTAACCACTGACATTCATAGCAGGAAAAACAAATACTATGGAAGTCAATGGTAACTGATTTCCAACCCTTTTCAAAATATCTTTTGTTTGTGTGTGTGTGTGTGTGTGTGTGTGTGTGTGTGTGTGTGTGTGTGCGCGCGCGCGTGTGTGTGTGTGTGTGTGTGTGTGTGTGTGTGTTCAACAAGAAAGAAACTCAAACAGGTTTGAAATGAGTGTAAATGGTGACAAAATGTTTATTTTTGTGTGAACAATTGTGTGGTCTAATGTTGGAAACGGGAATGCTCAACACATTACCTATTTTCAGCCACTTTCTATTTTGTTTACCTGAACAATCGTTTCCAGCATATCAGAACTGTACTCTTTGCTTTTACTCATTGTTATGGATGAGTGTTTGAATTTGAGCTTTGTGTTCCTCATATTTATACTCCTGTGAAACAGATAACCATGGTTGGATTCAGCCAGGTTAGATAAAAATGAAAATATATAAGGAGATATGCATTAGATATTACACTGTTTATTTTATTAGGGGTGCTGCTAATCATTTTGGCCACTGTTTATTTTACATTTAAGTAGAATCCCAACCACTTTTTATTTGAGTTAAAGATTAAAAGATTTATTTTTACAGCATTCCTCGCTCATATTTACCAAGGGTAAGAATAATATTGACCATTATTGTACATAATCAATATATTGTACATTATCAATATATCAATTTATAACAAAACAACATGATTTTTCTTTGGATGAATCACTTTCCTGGTTAACCATGTGTGGCTCATATAAAATACCACAATGTAGTTGGATCATGTCTACTGCTGTTTCAGCTATTTAGGTCACTGTGGCATTTTTCACCTTTCTCATGCAACCCATAAAAATCTCTCTCTCTCTCTCACACACACACACACACACACACACACACACACACACACACACACACACACACACACACACACACACACACACACACACACACACACACACACACAATTATCAGTCACAAAACAGAGGGCAAAGAACAGTGTTAAGTGATTTATAGACAAGACAAACAGAAATAACTCAATAAGAACAAGCTGAATGCTATGAACTGGATGGTAAAGTGCACTTATTATAGCATTTGGGTTACCAAAGCTATTGGTAAGCTGGTACAATGGAATGGTGTATACAAAGACACAGAAACATCAAAAACTAATTATGTTCTTTTGGAAATGTTTGATAGCTCTGTGGCATTCTTTTCATGACAGATTTCTATATAAAAATGGTAATGATTCAGCATCTTTGGATATGGGTTAAAGGAACTTAAAAGGGGTTTAAGCAACAAAACAAAGTGTAATTAATTTTTGCTTGTTTTTCATAAATTAAAATGTGTCCCTTTTTATTTTTTCATTTTGATTAATAAACAAATACATTTATAAATACATATTTCCATACATGCATGAATAAATGTCTTCTTTTTTCAATCATAAATGACAGATATAAAATATTAATTGGTGTAACAACAGTTTATAGAAAAAGGTCTTGTCAGGCATATTTTGAACGAGAAACATTTGATTAAATATTAAACAGCTCTTTAAGAGGATCAGCCCCAAAAGTCTAATTAATTGCCATTTTAAAGCTGTATACTTTACCACTATCCTTGAAAGCACTAGATTTTACTCATTTGTCAGCAGGAAGTTTAACATATATTAATATTATAAATATTTTTAAAAAATCATTATTTTATTTATTTTAATAAGTGAACTTCAGAATAAGTATGTTGTTTTTGTTCTTTTTGTATGAATATGTAATGAACAATATCACTTCACCCTTAGTCTAACATTTTATTAAAAAAAAAAAAAAGTCTTCTGTAAACATTCGACTCTTTAGTTTACTTGCATTTCATTTGCTTTTTCTAAAATTTTGTTGTAAATTTAACTTGATGCCAACACTTGAACGATTATGTCTGATTATGTCTGCTGAAAAAGGCTATTACCGTCTTTGGCCATAATTTGTACTATGGTACCTTTCCTAAAAACAATATTGTGCAATGATGTGATTTCTATTATTGCCCTATTATGCAACTATTACAAGTCAACATTAATTTGAAAAAAAAAATAGAAAATAAATAAGGAATAATTAAAAAAAGTAAATACAAATACATTCCTTCTAAATACAAGTTAACAGAAGTAAAATGAAATGCAAATGATTTGTTGTATAACTGTTGCAAACTTACCACAGGGTTTTCCAGCAGCCAGTGCCAGCAGCGCACTCACAATGAGGAGAGTAATCTGACATTGACAAATAAATACAGACAACATGTGAAATTTGCTTTTAAGTGCTCCATAATTACCAAGATTCTTATTTAATTTGATAAATAATAGTTTTGTGAATAAGCATTCTGTACCATAATAACAAACAGAACGTCAATGTTTATTGAATGTCCTTCTTACCATTTTATCTCTGAGTTGGGTATCCTGTTGAATCCAGTTAAGATGAATTTACTTTTTCAGTGAAATACTATGACCGTGACAGGAGGCGGAGTTTCTCCACAGTTACTCATTTACAGACACTATAAAGTTTTGCAACATATCGTCAAACTGTGCTCTAAATTATCTTCTATTACCTTTCTTGCTCCAAACTGTTTTCATTTTTTTGCCTTTTCATTTGTATTTCAATAAAATATTCCTATCTCTCTTCTAAACGTGTGTTTGTTTACTATAGCTCACTTCCGGTTAAAGAACTACAAACGGCGGACTACAAGTTCCAGACGCCTTCCTCTACACACTGTTCGAGAAAAGCGTCGTAAAATCCAGGCTCTTGCAACTTCTCGTGTCAACTGTTATTAGTCATTTTCCACATTTCAATTAAAATTGGCTTGCCGCTTTTGCGAGTGTGTAAAAGGTAAGTGTTTGTGCACCTAATGTAAGCAATGACGCGGTGTTGTTTTGTATGTAGTGGGGCGTATGACAAGAGGATGTTTTAAGCTGCAGCAAGCCAGCAATTCAAGTTATTCTTACCCAGACTACCACAAAATGGCTTAAGGGTAAATTATTTAAGATTATTTCAGGTAAAACTATCATAAATATTGACTTATCCAGAGCATAATGCCTGTGCTATTGAATGTTATGGCCTACGGTGAAAGAAAATATACAGATTTATAAAGTTAGTGACCAGTTGCTCACTATAAATCTAGTGGCTAATGTTTTTTTCCCTAAATAAATCTAATTTAATACCTATTTTTGGTGTTGGAAATAAAAAAAAATGGAAATTTGACCTTCAAAGAAAATTTACATAAATGATTTTAATCATTTTCAGTTCAAGTAAAAGTGTACTTTAATGTTTCATATAACCTTTGTGAAAATTTAATGTTTAATTATGTGTGAAATAATGTTTTTGCAATCAGTGTCGTACATGTTTATGTAAAAATGAAACACCATACTTATTATGACCTCTGCTTGTATGCAAACGAATTTGATTTCATGCAATGTTGTATGTTTACAAATTTAAAATGACAGCCGATTTGTATTTTTGGGGCTGTACTAATAAGAGAGACCTCTTTAAATGTGTCTGAGTAAAATATTCATATTCTTTCAGACTAAAATACTGTAACTTTGAACACTTTTTTTGAGCTGGACATGACAATTGACCAAAATAACAAGTGTTTTCATGAAAATAAAGGTTGTTCCACCAAATACTGAAAATAAAATATTGTTATTGTGTCTTCTAAAATGAAAATTAACAAACCTAAAAATTAAATGTAAAAATATTTTGACCAATTTAGTTTTTTAGTTTTGACACAAACATTTTTTTTCAAATTTAGGAATAAATGTCATAAATAGTTTACAGAAAAAAATTAAGCCATGTAAAAAAGAATGCATGGTGACACGGTGGCTCACCACTGTTGCCTTACAGCAGAAAAGTTGCTGGTTCGAGTCCCGGCTGGGTCAGTTGGCATTTCTGTGTGGAGTTTGCATGTTCTTCCTGTGTTTGTGTTGGTTTTCTTCTAGTGCTCCGGCCCCAGTCCAAAAACATGCACTATAGGGGAATTGAATAAACTAAGTTGGCCGTAGTGTATGTGTGTGTGAATTAGTGTTTATAGATGTATCCCAGTACTGGGTTGGCCGCTGGAAGGACACCCGCTGTGTAAAACATATGCTGGATAAGTTGGCAGTTCATTCCGCTGTGGCGACCCCTAATAAATGAAGGGAATACGAAATAAATAAGGAAAAAATAATGCAATAAAGTCATGTTTTACGAACATTAAAAAATTGTTAATTAAGAGAAAATGTCTCTTCATTTTTCCATAATTTTCCCCTTCACTTTATTTATACAAGTATATATTTGTGTATGAGACTGTATATGTGTATGCAAAATAAATGTTGTTAATTATGTTGTATTAACCATTTGTACACCCTGTTCCATTGCCCAGCACCTCTGATTTGCTCATGTTTTCCAGATTCCTCTAGTATTCACACTGCTGGACTGCAGTTGTCATCTAGTTTTGATGCCTCCAGCTCATCTTCAGCTGAAGGACAATGCAAAGCTCCAGGTCAGGAACCAGTGAACTGGACTTCATCATGTTCTCTCCACATGCACATTTTAGTAACCCAGATTTGGTCCCAGTTAGCGGGCCAACCAAAGGCTTGCATCATCTGACTGGTGGATCGATGCCAAATACGTAAGCATTAAGTGTTTTGTGCTATTAGGAAGTCTAATTAAGCACCATTACCTTATAGATGATCCCTTTCATTTTATTTGTCTGTCCATTTAAACATAGAAGCTGGGAAAGAAGATGCATGAGGAAGCAGAGGAGAAGGACAGATGATGAGTGAGTACCAGATCACTTGCATATAATATCGTATGGCTCGGTGGCTAGCATAATTACATTACAGCAAGAAGGTTGCTAGTTTGAGTCCAGGTTGGCATTAGGTGCGGAGTTTGCATGTTCACCCTTTGCTCACATGGGTTTCCTCCGGGTGCTTTGGTTTTTGCCCCAGTCCAAAGACATGCCAGTCCAAGAGTATAGGTGTGTGTGTGTGTGTATGAATGAGAGAATCTATGGGTGTTTCCCAGCACTGGAGGTTGTATGTCTTTAATACAAGAAGGGTATCCTCTGTTAAAAAATTTATTTGATTGTTTTTGTCTGCTTGTTGACCCCTGATAAAGCAGGCAGTAACTTAAGGAAAATTTGTATGAATAATAAATTGGTTAAATTATGTTAATATAATTTAACAACATTAACATTAATTTAGCTAATTCAAATGTCAACCATGTTTTAAAATCATTTTTTAAAAAGTCATATTAATTAATGCTATCAGTTTAATGTTAGTTTACAATTTTTAGGTTTATTTAGGCCACCACATTTCTTACTGTGTTGCTAGGCATATGACGATATAAAATGTTCTTGTTTCTATTATTGGTGAAGCTTTTTATCATACTATACTGTATTATCACTACATTGACATATATATATATATATATATATATATATATATATATATATATATATATATATATATATATTATAATAACAAAATTAACTGTACATTTTTGTGTATGTCTGGAAAACTATCATGAAGTGCAATAGGTTTTACACTTTACTATTACCTAACATCAGACCATTAACAAGTGCATTAACTAACATCAACAGTGAGAAATAACTTCATGTGTTATATTAGTTTGAAGAAAAAAAAATAAAATGGACCTTGTTGTTAGCTCCACTTAATGGTAGCTCCATTTAATAGACTTTGGGTTTTAAGGAGTTATTAAACTTTAAGAAATTTCACCTGATTAATAATTGTTATACAAATGGTTTACATGATCAGTTTAGTTTATTAAATGAATGCTATTAAATGGAGCCTTAATGTTAAGTGTTAACAAACAATAGCCCTATAAAGATTTTAATTGCTGGCCAGATTTCGCAGACCAGATTATTGTAAAAATCTTTAAATATTGGGTCACACTTTAAATTATATATTAGTGGTATTAATTACTACATACTAGCATTTAAATAACAATAATAACAAAGCACTGATTATGTACATACATCTTCTTACATTGTACTTGTATTTTAAATTATCTCCATGTAAATGCATCTGTATTTAAAATCTATAATTAGAATAATAGTAAGGGGCAGCACAGTGTACACAGAGTACAATCACACCACAGCAAGAAGGTCGCTGGTTTGAGCCCCGGCTGGGTCAGTTGGCGTTTCTGTGTGGAGTTTGCATGTTCTCCCCGGGTTTGCGTGGGTTTCCTCTGGGTGCTCAGGTTTTCCCCACAGTCCTAAGACATGCTGTATAGATGAATTAAATAAGCTAAATTGGCTGTAGTTTATGGGTGTTTCCCAGTGATGGGTTGCAGCTGGAACGGTATCCACTGCGTAAAACATTCCGCTGTGGCGACTCCAGATTAAAAAAGGGACTAAGCCTAAAAGAAAATGAATGAATGAGAAATATACTAACATTGTTGACCATTCCTTACACCACAGGTGTCAAACTCAGTTCCAAAAGGGCTGCACAGTTTAGTTCCAATCCTAATTAAACACACCTGATCAAACTAATTGAGTCCTTCAGGCTTGTTTGAAACCTACAGGTAAGTGTGTTGGAGCAGGGTTGGAACTAAACTGTGCAGGGCTTCGGCCCTCCAGGAATTGAGTTTGACACCCCTGCCTTACACCTTAACCCACCCTTAAACCTACCCATGCCTCTTAACCTGCCCCTAAACTTATCCTTGTCCCCCTTCAGTAGTGTTAATATTAACACAATAAGTACATAGTACTTTATTTTTCGATGTAAGTACTAGTAGTTACGACCATTTAATATAAAGTGGGACCAAATATTCCTCGGGAGTTTGGTGTTGTGATAAACACAACTCCGAATATAACAATAATTTTATGAATAAATATTTTAATATTCTTAAAAATATTTTTTATGACTTTAAATATTGGCCCCTTTTTACAAGCCTGTTATGATGCGTTTAATGGTCATCATAATCTTAAATCCTTGAAAGTTTTTAATATATATATTTTTTAAATTACAAAAAATAATAACCGCTTATGCAAGGTGTTTCTAATGCAGCGTCTATGGGGCTGAGAGTAAATCTAACATTGTTCTCTCCTCTGGCTGCCATCATTACAGTATTTTTTTTTTCCTTTTCCTGAAAGTCCTGATAACCTTTTCCTGAAAATCTTGATAGTCCTGAAAGTCTCTATAACTCCATCGTGGAGCTTTTCATTTATTATTTCAGCAAATAGGGTTGTAAAAAAAATATTTGTTGTACTCTCCCATTCAGGGGCGAGGCAGTGGCGCAGTAGGTAGTGCTGTCGCCATACAGCAAGAAGGTCACTGGGTCGCTGGTTCGAACCTCGGCTCAGTTGGCGTTTCTGTGTGGAGTTTGCATGTTCTCCCTGCCTTCGCGTGGGTTTCCTCCGGGTGCTCCGGTTTCCCCCACAGTCCAAAGACATGCGGTACAGGTGAATTGGGTAGGCTAAATTGTCCGTAGTGTATGAGTGGATGTGTAAATGTGTGTGTGGATGTTTCCCAGAGATGGGTTGCGGCTGTAAGGGCATCCGCTGCGTAATAACTTGCTGGATAAGTTGGTGGTTCATTCCGCTGTGGCGACCCCGGATTAATAAAGGGACTAAGCCGACAAGAAAATGAATGAATGAATGAAACTCTCCCATTCACTGCGCTCTAAGTTTACCCAACTATGACGACATCCGCTACTGAGAAACCCAGAAATGTGAAAAGGGTCTATATATCATCTATATAAATATCAGCCCATCTACTAATAAGACCTGAACTGTTTCTGGCCTGTTTCCCGGTACAGAAGCTGCAGTCCTAAACGGCGGAAACTGATGGGAGAGGAAGGAGCAAATCAGTGTCCAAGTCCTAAAGCAAGCCACATCTGGCCTGTAGATTCTCCAGCACCTTCTCCTTCATCTGAGACCAGCCTGGTTCAGCTGCAGACCAGACCCGGGATGGAGGAGATAAATCTGCCCTTCACCGCCGCTCCGACTCCATTACCCAGAGTTCCCTCTGAGGGCTCGGGCATGGAGGTAGAGGCCGCTCAGAGGAGACTGCAGGAAATAGAAGAGAGGTTAGATGAACCAATCAATCACTTGCTGTCAAACACGAAGTATACATTATTTTCAGATGCTGTTCAGAAATTAGATCTATGTTATGCTCCTTTTATAGACAGCAAAAGCCCTGACAGGAAGAGTAAAGAAGTGCAAAATCCGCCTTTCAGATTTAAAGCCACTAATCAAAGGCTATAGTCTTAACAAATGGCAAGCAGAATTAAATCAGTGCTCAAAAAAAACATCAAGAACATCAAGTTTTTTTTTTTTTTTTTACTAAAGAGATGAAGTTGTTTACACAAGATGACATTGTTATAATATTTATGTATTATTATAGAAAATTTATATTTACAAAAAGTTTTATATTTGATCTGGTTTTGCCAGGAAATAGCTAAAGAAGATGATATGGCACTAAATTGAAAACACTCTCTTTATTGGTAAAACTGTTTAAAGATGTTTCTATAATTTTCCTGGAATGTTTTGTGTGCTACAGGATCACTTTGGAGGATGATAGCGATGAAGAAGAGCTGGATGTGGAACCGGCTCAGCGCAGGCCAGTATTGGTGATGTCTGACAGCTTGAGAGAGGGCCTACAGCGCGGGATTGGGGATATTCTACCACATATGGTTGCACAGTCAGTGTGAGTATATTGTTTTCAGCTTTCCAAATTTTGACACTCGATGACAACTTTCAGTTAATTAATAAATTCATGAACAAGCTCAGTTGCAAGAATTTAGGCTTAAAGCTTTAGATTAAAATGTACATTAATTTTTTTATTGAAAAATAGAGTCAGTAAGAAAAGAGAAAAATTCAGCTGAAATTCATTAATTAGATCACAATTGACTAGTGTTATGCTTAAAAGTCTAACTTTGAGAATTAGAAAAAAAATTAAGTTACACTTTCATTAAGTATGTATAAATAAAATTTAATAACAATTGATGTCAAATTGGCTTTTTAATAATGAAATTTCTTGAACACAATATCAGACTAAAATCTATAGTCTAAAAGTCAGCTTTTCAATCATAGGAATACTTTTTTTTTTTTTTTTAATCTTTAAATAATTTTCAAGATATTTCAGGTATGCTGCTCTACATGTCACCACAAACATTTGAGTTTTAGGTCCAATGTGAGAAATAAAATAACAAATTATTATTTTATTATGCTGTACTGTCAGATTCTTTAGAAATAACATGAAGATTCTCAATAGCCATCCACTTCTTTTTATGTGCATTTTGGAATATTGCAAAAAAATCCCAGGATGGAAGTGCCAAGATATGCATAAGTTTTGAAAATGTGGATAAATGAGTAGGATAAACTTTTTATCCGATAAGAAAAAAATGCACATAAACTACGATAGAAACCGTACCGAATAAATTCCACTTTGCGCATCAAAAAAGTCATGTGATTTTGCTTCAACAGATCATGTGATAACAAAGGTGACAGAAAGTGACAGGTTTGTTTGGGTGGAATATGAGGTCCAAACATTTTTAAATGTTATATACGAGAAAGAAGTGACAACCATCCTTGATGGAAAATATCAGTGGAAACCGCTAACCTTCCAAGAAGTTTGAGAGGAGATTATTCTAAAAGGATATTACAAACTGCCATTATAACATGACTAAAACCAAGTAAGTTATTATGTACACACCTGCAGCTTCTCCATGATAGACGTCCAGCATTCTCAAGCGCCTAGACTACAGCTCCACACAAGAAGTTTGGCCATAGAAAAAATGGTTGTGTCCAACAGAGCCTGGTTTCTCTCGTTTTTTTCCCCCCTTCACCTCGTCAGTTGAAGTTTTTTTCCTTGCCACTGGCTTGCTTGGATTGGGACTTGTGGAGCTGTGCATTGATGGTTTTGCTCTTCAGTGTTTGAACTTTGAGCAGTGAAATTAAAAGCACACTGAACTGAACTAAGCTGATCTTTAACTCTGAAATCCGCATAAATTTAATTAACATCTTTGGATGGAAACATAGCTAATGACTCCAGCAAAACAAATAGATTGTCTAAAATCGTATGTATATATGGTTTCCACAACTGTATGAAAACAAACAGAAGCACAGAGGTGTTCTGAAAGTAACAATCCACCAGCAGCAGCCCTGATCTCTCTTGTTCTCTGCAGGAGCCGCTCTTGTATGGAGCTGGTGGTTTGGCGTCCACCAGAAGACCCGCTTACACAGAGACTCAAAGACTCTTTACAGAGACAGCAGCGCAAGAGCAGACAGACCCCCACCCCTGTCCCATCCGTCAGCAGCCCCCCGTCCCACCAGCAGACATTCAGCCCTCTGTTTAGCAACTCTGGAGAAGAAGACATGGAGTTATAGAGCAAAATCAATCAGCATAACCTGAATTTTCTGTCTAGTGCCATGAATTTTGTTCTTCGTTTGTTTGTTTCAGCCTGCGTTTTTTTTTTTTTTGCAGGTGGGACCATATTTGCACTAGATGAAATGAGAAGTGAATTTTCTTTTCTGTGGTACATTGGTTAGAACAGTCGGTTACATTATTCAGCCTGTTTGATAACTCTATGCCATGTTTGTTTGAACTCATTGTTAACAATGCAACATTTTTTTAGTTTCGCAAGTAGTATTACTGCGGTGTACCATTTTCTGTGCACTGAGCATTTGATTTGTTTCGATCTGCCATATTATTTTTATTAAACATTTACTTTAAGACATCCGACTGGTTAAAACATGAAACTGCTCTGCTCTTCATGCTGTTGTTGTTATGGAAAGTGATGACTTGTGAAGTTTCTTGATTGTGCGAGGAAGGATTGTTATGTGGTTTTAAATTTGACGGCACTAATTTTATCCGGTTTAACCATTTACTCATTTAACAGACAGAAAAGCGAGTATCGGAGGAGACGCATGGGCATCCATATTTGAATCCTAGTACTTGGATCTGTTTAATCTAAACAAAGAACAAATAGCATCTATTAACCTTGTCATAATTATCAAAAAAACAAAAACAACAGCAACAGTAAAATAAGCTAGAAAGCCAAAATGCCTGCAGTTTAAACGTTGGCCTACATTGAAATGTTTTGTTTAAAACTTTCTGTGATTTCTAGTTTGCCTGATGTCATAATCTAAAACTTGTAAATAATACTGACTACTGTATGTCACACTACGACGCAGGCAGACTTGTTTATAAATAAAAACAGTTTGGCAATATCGTTTTCTTCTTGTGACTTTTTATTTATATAGAAAAACATTCATACATTGATTTTAATATGATTAATTCCTCTGAGAAATCATTAGAAGTGACATGTTGTAATTGCATTTGAGCAATTAATATTCACAATTTGTCAGTAAAACTGGAGGTTGCTTTCAGATGGAGCACCATATACATGCATTTCAGGGTCAGTTCACTGACAAGCTACGCAAAAATCACATTCAAGTAGATTTTTTTTCATTCATTCAATTTCCTTCAGCTTAATCCCTTTATTAATCTGGGGTCATCACAGCGCAATGAACCACCAACTTGTCCCCCGACTGTGGGGGAAACCGGAGCACCTAGAGCACAGGTGTCAAACTCCGTTCCAAAAGGGCCGAAGCCCTGCACAGTTTAGTTCCAACCCTAATTAAACACACCTGATCAAACTAATTGAGTCCTTCAGGCTTGTTTGAAACCTACAGGTAGGTGTGTTGGAGCAGGGTTGGAACTAAACTGTGCAGGGCTTCGGCCCTCCAGGAATTGAGTTTGACACCCCTGATCTAGAGGAAACCCATACAAACACGGGGAAAACATGCAAACTCCACACAAATGCCAACTGACCCAGCCGAGGCTCAAACCAGCAACCTTCTTGCTGTGAGGTGATTGTGCTACCCACTTCGCCATCGTTGATTTAATTAGACGATATAATAGATCAGATGATTTAATAGACATCGATATAATCATTCTGTGATACTGACAACTCCACTTTTAGGTATGCAATTGTGCGCTTCCCCTCGAGGAAATCCATGCTGCCATTTTAAAGTGAGTGCCACTTCAAGTGGATGAGGAAAGTTTACATGGATAGACCCTCGATCCCTCAATTTTGACAGAGGGACTGATTCTACTTCATATGTACACTCCAGCACCTATACACTACCTGACAAAAGTATTGTCGTCGATCCCAGTTGTAAGAGCAACACATAATAACCTGACCTCTAGTTGATCATTTGGAAAAGTGGCAGAAGGTAGATTTTTCTTATAAACCATCTGTTAAACTGCAGAAGACCTATTGGAACATGCATGGACCCAAGATTCTCACAGAAATCAGTCAAGTTTGATGAAGGAAAAAACATGGTTTGGGGTTACATTCAGCATGGGTGGTGTGAGAGACCTGCAGAGTGGATGGCAACATCAACAGCCTGAGGTATCAAGACATTTGTGCTGCTCATTGCATTACAAACCACAGGATAGGGCAGATTCTTCAGCAGGATGGTGCTCCTTCTCATACTTTAGCCTCCGCATCAAAATTCCTGAAAACAAAGAAGGTCTGGGTGCTCCAGAATTGGCCAGCCAAGTGACCAAAGACGAACATTATTGAGCATGTCTGGGATAAAATGGAGGAGGCATTGAAGATGAATCCAAAGAATCTTGATGAACTCTAGGAGTCCTGCAAGAAGGCTTTCTTTGCCATTCCAGATGACTTTATTAAAAAGTTTTTGGGTCATTCAAGAGATGTGTGGAGGCAGTACTCCAAGCTCATGGGAGTCGTACACAATATCAATTATTTTTCCACTGCAGCATAACTTTATATTCTAGACTGTACATTATTTCTGTTGAGTGACAATTCTTTTGTCTAAATAAACGGGCGGTCTGTCGGATGCCTGTCAGATGTGAAAGCCTGGTTGTCTTTAAACTTTCTAGATTTTAATTAGAGTAAAACTGAAATAATTTTGTTCGGCCCGTCAAATCCTTCTAGGACACCACCAGTAATTCTTGGTAAATCAAGTTTTTCTGTGAAGCCTTGTGTAAAAAAATCTGGGTGTTATCTTTGATGATGGCTTGAGATTTGATAAACAGATTAGCGCAGTGGTCATATCCTGCTTTTTTTCAGTTTCGACTTTTAAAAACAGTCAAAGCTATTTTAATATTTTTATTTTTGAAAAAATAATTCATGCTTTCATTACTTCTAGATGAGACTTCTGTAATTCACTATTTTTTGGGATCGGTCAGACAACTCTATCCCGCCTACAGTTACTTAAAAATGCTGCTGCGAGGCTTTTAACCAACACCAACAAATATGACCACATCACACCAGTTTCACTCTCTTTGCACTGATTGCCTGTGCTCTATCGTGTCACTTTTAAAATGATTCTCCTGGTTTAAATCACTAAATGGCCTGGCTCCTTCCTACCTGTCAGACCTGTTGACTAAACATCAGCCTGGTCGGTCTCTTAGGTCATCTAACCAGAGACTATTATACATCCAAAGTCGAGGCTGAAATGCAGGGGTGACCGTGCTTTCGCAGTAGCTGGTCCTTCCTTGTGGAATGCTCTGCACCTCTGTATTAGGTTTATATCATATCTGTCTGTTTTTAAATGTAGGTTGAAAACTTCCTCTTTTGATTTGGCATTTTATCAGTGAGAATTGTTTGTTTTAACTTTAATTTTATACTTGTTCTTTGTGATTTGTATTGTTCAGCACATTGGTCAACCTTTGGTTATGTACAATAGTGCTATATAAATAAAATTAACATTGACATTGACAAAGTCAGACCTTACTGTCCTAATCAAATATGAAATGATCAACTAGAAGTCAAGTTATTATTTGTTGTTCCTAAAACTTGGATAAGCGACAAGACTTATGTCAGGTAGTGTATGTTTCACAATGCAATGCGTTTGTGACATCGCAACATCAGCTTTCACTGTGGTTTTCATCTTAGATTTTAAGTGCTGGAAGGTTTAGGACAGTGCGTTTAAACCCATTCAGATGTTCCGCCTATAGTGGACACTAGTGTAAAGTAATCAATGACGTTCATCTGAGTCAGCGAGACTAAAGGAAGTTAGCGAGTGAAGGGCATAAAAGAGCTTTTGTAGTAGTAAATAAATTATGATTACATAGCCATGTGATTATTAGTCATGCTGAATCAATGAAAGCAGTTAAATTGGGATTTCCTGTTTTTCTCTTTCATGGCTGTTTGTTGTTTCCATGTGAGAGCACCCTCTGGCTTTGGACAATACCATGCTTCAATGACAAGATGTGCATGACAAATGCAGCTTTGCCATTGATTTTGATTAACTGCCTAGCCCTAAACACAAACACAACTAAAGTCCATTTTAAAAGCCAATTGCTATTACAGTTCATTCTTTGATTAAAGCAGGCCTAAATGAAACATGAGCCTACAGTGAAGTGGTCAATTCTGCCCATTCAGAACTTGAACATTCCACCTGAGCTCCATGGAGGAGAAGCAATTTTCTGTTTTCCTTATAAAAAAAACGAACAACCTGGTGAACAAATTGTAGGAAAAGAGAGTTGAAAGTAAATGTTAGCAGGAGATGCTCTTTGCTGGTAGGTAATCTTCTGTTTTTTTGGTTTCCTGGGATGAAGCAATCTGCCAAGAACATGAGAAGCTTAGAAAAATCTACTTAAAAATACATAAAATATTAATGTAAACAAAACATGCATATGCAGTATTATTAGTATTATTCTTAAAACAGAAAAGTAGTTTCAAAATGGCAGTGTTGTTACTGTTAACTAAAATCAGTTTATAAAACATTGAATTTGTCAAATGATTTCAAATGTAGACATGTTAGCATCAAACTAAATGAAAAAAGCAATATAAGGATAATAAAATAACATAGCAAAATACTTAAAACTGTGAAAATAATTTGGGATGTACTGTACCATGTCTAAGTAAGATCCGCCCAGGTCAGTGTTCTCCCTGTCCCGCTTCATTGGACTGGAGCAGCGGCTCTGACTCTCTGCCTGGAGGAGCTGAATGCGACTCTGGAGGTGTCGCAGCAGTTTATAAGAGCTCAGGTCTTCAGTGACTCTGGAGTTTTGTATGTCTGGGACACCCTGAACAGCGGCTGAGGTCAACTGGGATATGTTGTGGTCTCGGCATTGCTGCAGACAGAGAGAATCAAGTTCTTTCTTGTGTTCAATTATAGTTGTGTTGAAATGCCACACTTATTTTCTATTCCAGCTTACATTAAAACAATGTAACAATTTAAAATTATGCTGGAAATATTTCATTTTGTTTGTTTTACAACTAATATTTTTCTGAAAGTGTTTTTGAGCTGGACTCTTGGCTGATTGAGGCCTGTCATGAATAAACATGACAATAAAACTGGCAGTATGTGGCAGCAAGTCCCTGATATAATGAGTGATTCACTGAATCATTCATTCAAATTAGTTTAATTCAATTCAGTTAGTTAAAAGTAGCTGATTCATCTAGAAATAAAATCAAGAGACCGAATGAACAGACCATAGATCCACTGGTTTAATTGATTCATTCAAAAGCAGATTCATTTAGGAACTAAACTGCAGTGATGCTCTGGTAAATAAATGTTCAGTTCTGACTTTGTTTGATAATAACATGTCTGATCACTTGTGATCATTTGAGGTCAAAATGAAGCTGCTTTTTGTAACTACTGAATAATCATGCTTCTATAGCAGCATTAAAGTGATATTGTTTTTATCCTTAACATTAAATAATTTTTTCTTTAAATATTAGTATCTATATTGGATGAAAAAAGTAGCTGCCTTAGGGCAATTCCCTGTTTTAAAAATATGACAAATTGGAAAAAGGTAAGCAGAAATATTTTTAAAGATCAAATAAATTTACTGAAGCACATAAAATGTATAAAAATGACAAAAATTAATCAAACATTAATAAACATCGTATAACAGTGTATAATAGTGTATAAATACTAAAATAACACTGGCTTTACAGCAGTCAGATGTCTCATCTCATTCTCCAGTCTCTCCAATCTCTTCTGCTGCTCTGCTTTGGACGTCGGGAGCCTCCTGTTATATACAATAAAGAGAATACAACATGGTTTAAAAATTAAATGACAAGCCATGATATTGAGTAACCTACAGTCCAAAAGTTCATTGCTTTACTTGTTTACTAGCCCAACAAGGCTAAATAAAAGTCAATGGCTGAAAAAAAATTGTCAAAATTTTTTTTTGATGTTTTTGTACATGAAAGTGTCATACAGTGATCAGCATATATATCTTACAAATCTCTCATTTAAATTAAACATTTTCCATAGGAAGCTTTACAATAATATATTTGTGCATGAACATTAGATTAGTCAGTACTGAAGCTAAATCTGAAGCTAATCTAACAAAATAACTAATAACAGTCCAAAATTAGTACATCCAAATTTATATAATATAGAAAAATATTAAACAAAAATTTAACAAAGAGCAAAAAAAAACAAAAAAAAAATTTATATATATATATATATATATTTTTTTTTTTGTTAAAAAATGTTTAGGTCTTAATTTTGTTTCCCAATATTTTGCATGAATTTAAATGTATTATCTTTCTATTTCTAAAGATGTTCGGTGACTAAAATATTATTTTAATAAATGTATCTGTGTAATCTGTTTTGTTCAAATTCGCCAAAATATATGACCCATATTTACTGATAAATTAATAAAAATATTGATTTGCAAAATGGGGTGTACTCAATTATGCCGAGCACTGCATATGTTAATTTGTTTAACCCAATCATTCAAAAGTTTGTTAACAAATGACAAATCCAGCGGACTCAGTGAGTGTTTGAAGCACCTCTCCAGTTCTGCATTGAGCTCCAGTTCAAACTTGTGTGCGATTCTGGCGGTGGTTTTGTCTTTCCACTGAGCCATGCTGTTGTGCACCTGTCTGAGCTCCTCATCTTTAGCTTTCAGCTGTCTGCGCAGATGAACACACTGTCCATCCACATCTTCATCATTCTTCATGAGCAGCTGACCACGAGATAGACTGCTCATCTCCTCAACATGCGCCTTCGGTTTAGACAAAGCAGACGCACAAAACAAGATATGAACACTTTTTTTCTTGCAATTTGAGCACATGCATTTTACATGATTGCCATTCTAAGCTAAACAGTATATTCACTGACTTTTCCTTGACATTCTTTGACCAAAAAGCTAAATTTCCATGAACAGGCTGCTGTTGTGCTTTGCATAATATTAAAATGATTTTAGCTTCAATATTATTTTGCAAGATTTTAATAGCCACAATGAGAACAGCAATGAATAATCGACCACAGATTTTGGAAAAAAAAAAATCAGAAGTACTGTTCGCATTGCTTCATTCGTTCATAGATGTCTAATGCAAGGCTAAACTTGAGCTGTCAGTGAAAATCTAATTAACATCTAAGAACAGCCCAAAACTAGACTAGTCGTCAAATAGACAGACTTTATATATGCAGTTTTTTTATTTCTGTTTATATGATGACTAGTCAAGTTTTTACCTATTCTTAACCCTTTTATCAGGTTTTCATTGACAGCTCAAGTTTAGCCTTGTTTAAGCCAAGACCACTATGTTTCGACATCTTTTATTTAGACAATTATTAAACATCTTTTAAAAATTATAAAATGCTTGTTGGGTAGTAGTTTTAAAAACTTTCATATTAATCAGTATTATCATGATCATATTACTTTAATCAGCCAGTCTTTTAAGGTGTCATTTTAAAGTCAAGGCTCCTATAATGTGTATTATGCTCACATGATAGCTGTAATGAACAGATATGGTTGCATTTGATTTAAATTATTGCCAGTTGATGAATAATGAAAAGAATAAAATTGAGCTAAATATTATCTAACCATAACAAGTATGAAATAATGTGATACAAATCTGGTAAAGAAAAATACATTTTGATAAATGAAAACTAAAATTTAAACTAACTAAATTCCCTGATATTCCATGACTTTTACAGACAGAAATTCAGTGACTCAGAGGAACCCTGATTTTACTCCTGAAACCTCCTGAACAAACAAACTTCATGCCCTCTTTGATATTATGTTGGTTAAATGAGTTTTTATACCGGGTCAAAATAGTGACTGCTGGGAAACAATTCAAGCTAAAGCCAACAAAACTTTAAGAACATCCAGAAATTAGAAAAACAAATACATAATTTTGAGTAGTTGGAAAAAAACAGAGTTAATACATATAAAATAATTTTGAATTTTTTGAAGCTATTAATTCTAAATTCCAGTATACCTGTATGAGCTTCTCTTTCAGAGCAGCCAGCGCTCTTTCCTTTTCCTCCATCAGCTGCTCTTTCTGTACACGCAGCTCTTGCTCCTGAAACAAATAGGGCAGTGTCTTCTCATAAGTGGTGTGTTGCTGTGAGTTCATTTGTGTTTATTATTGTCGCCTCTTACCTTTTCTCGGCTCATCTGCAGTGCAGCGCGTCTCTGTGTACTGAGCTCAGTTTTTAGATCATTGATATACTGCTGTAGGGACTTTGTGAGGGACTGCAGCATCTGAAGAGCTGAACTCACTGTAGAACTGAATCAAATACATTTATTAAATATACAATACAGTTCAGTAGTGGTTACCAATCTAAGATTCAGAAGTGGTAGCCAAACTTACTCTAGTGTTAGGGTTAGTGGGAAACAGTATGAATTTGAAGTCTGAATTAATTTTATAATTGCATATCTGAAAGAAACTGACTGTCATGGGAAAATCTTTTTACGTTTCTTTTACATTTTATCTTCCTATAATCTGCATATGTATTTATGAATTAATGGTTTGTGTAGAATGGTTATGGGGAAAACATACTTATTTATGCTATTTTAGAATTATTATGTACTCTCAGAAATGGGATTTATATTTTTATTCAGATTCTCTATGGTTTTTGTTCAGACAATACACTGGTTTGGATCACTGGAAAAGGTAGACTGTTTTTATGCACTGTTGAAAAAAATAAACAAAAATAAGCATATTAGGATTCTAAAATCTAAACTAAAGAAATTCAAGTGTTTTAAATGGTGTTTGAACCAACTATTTTTTTCGTCCGCAAAAAAAAAAAAAAAAAAAAAAAAAATATATATATATATATATATATATATATATATATATATATATAAATAAATAAAAATAAATAAATTGAACAACTGATTTCTAAATTGTTACCTAAATTGCAAAATGCTTGGCAACCACTGGACTGAACTTTTCAAGCAGTAGTTAAGAGCACCACATGGTAAGGGAGTGAAATATTTATCTACAAACACGCTGCAGTTGTTATTTTAATGCATGAACTACCAATTCACCTGCACCGCATGTCTTTGTATTGTGGTGGAAACTGCAGCACCCGGAAGAAACCCATGCGAACACGGAGAGAACATGCACACTCCACACAGAAATGCCAACTAGCAACTGGGATTCGGACCATTGACCTTCTTGCTGTGAGGCAACAGTGCTAAACACTGAGCCACTGTGCTGCCCACTACTGATTTTAATGATGCATTAATAAAGACAATAGATGTGTTTGACTTTGATGCGTAGACCAATCAGTCTGTGACATTTAAATCACAATAGTAAAACAAAAATCCCTCTAATCACTTTTGATGTCATGCAATGTTTAGTATGCATAATGCTGCATCAAGGTCAAACACATTTATCCAGAACGATTCACCTTTATAATTTTGCCATTTTGAAATAATTAATTGAATCACTTATTAAAGGGTTAGTCCACCCAAAAATGGAAACTCTGGAATACTCACCCACATGCAGTTCCAATCCCTTGAGATCATTATTCATCGTTAGAACACAAGCTAAGATATTTGAGATGAAATCCTAGAGCATTTGACACTGAGATATTCAAAGAAGGGCTGACGCGCTACCATTAATTAATCTTACAATGCTTTACCAGCTGAAGTATCATGATACCAAGTTGTATTGAGATACTGTAATTTGTAACTAAAATTACAAAGAAAATCAGAAATACTATATGTTATGTTATAATAGGCCTACTTGAATTTAATTCATCATTCCCTTAAGGCCAAAAAGTATTATTTGCAGCCCACTTCACCTAAAATTTATTTATTCTTTTTGTTAATTTTGTAGATAACTGACTGACAAATTATACATTAAAATAAAGATACAAATTATACCGAATGAAATTTTTACAGAAGAGCTTTTTTTTCTTCCAAATTAGACTATATAAAGTCAATTCCTGTTGCTATTTTGGGTATTTCATCTATTTTATTTTTCATTCTTATCACGTAACAATCCAAAGTAATTCCAGATTTTACTTTGTGGTTGTTGTAGCTAAATCATATTAACATGAACAGAAATTAACCAATTCAGATGTTCGTTCGAACTGAAGCATTAGAAAATGTGCAATAGGCTACTATAAAAAGCATGAATTCTACACAGTGTTGCAACCTTAAAGGGTTCCACAGACTATTAAATAAAATGGTCTATTGTTGCACAAACGTGCAAGCATTTTAGTGACTTTTCCACATGCAACATTATCTACTGTAGATAGACCATTAATGACGATACTAACGTTTACAAACTACAGTAGCAGAATGCATGTTTACTATAAGCAATATAACGATTACATGTGCTGTAGACTCTAATGGCAATATGTCAAACTGGTTGTAGTACATGTGGGCTCTTATGACATGGCGTGGGACAGAAGATTCTGGTGAACAGAGCCATATTTGCTTTTCTTTTTTTTTTTTGCCACTTTATGGTGATAACAGTTTAACCACTGAAGTCACATGCACAGTTGTTTCGGTTCTCATTACTGTTGCTGCCTATGGAGGATAAGGGACTCTCTGATTTAATCTAAAATATCTTAGTTTGTGTTCTGAAGATGAACAAAGGTCTCAGATATTTGGAACGACAAAATTAATAAAAGAATTTTCATTTTTGGGTCAACTACCCCTTTAAAACTGGCACATGCTGCCATCTACTGGTGATTTTAGTATTGTATTCATTTATCCATGACAACCTGTCTGATGAGTGTGAGCCTTCAGTTTCCACAATCAGGCCGTGGTGTTTCAGCAGCTCCTGCAAGTGAACACACTCAGCGTGTATGTCTTGAGCCCAGCGTCTGCTCTGCTGCTCATGTCTGGCAGTTCTCCTCTGCTGTTTTTGCTCTCTCTCTCTGAGTGCTGTCCTGAGCTCCTGAAGCTCCTTTTCAGAGCTCAGCAAAGTTTGCTTAAGACACACAGCCTCCTTCTCTGCCTCCTGTCACAAGAAAGCAGCAGTAAGTAAATGTTATGTATTAATCGATATAAATTAAATTGAACATGTCGGTTTGCATCTGAATTAAATGTCCAGAATAAAAAGATGACTTCTGATTCCTCTCACCTTCTGAAGTTCAGTCAGTTTACTTTGTAATGCCAGAGTGTTTCTTCTCTCTTTGTCCAATTCTGTTCTCCATTTCCTAACTGCATCCTCTGTTTTCTGCTCCAGAGTGTGACGCTGCTCTTGGAGAGCCTTCTCTCTCTGTTCCTCACACTTCCTTTGCTCTCGACTCGCAGCCTTTACAATCTGTTCACATGAGAAGAGATGCTCTGGTTTTTTTGGGGCATAAAGGAATCTTAACTGCATCAAATTTAATGGCCTGATACGGTAATACTTAATTTCCTTGATGAATCTGTCAACAGTACACAAGAGTCTGTGTAAAAAAATGTGATAATAGTGATGGAACCTTTTCCTCAGTCTCTCTTCTGAATTCCTCTTGTTGCCTTCTCATCTTCTCTTCGCTCTGCTTTAGAGCCTCTTTTAGTTGCTTCACCTCCTCATCTTTCATCTTAAACAGATGTGAATATAAACATGTAAATGTATATTAAAAAGAGTCCTTGACTAAGACTTTCAGTTATTTTTCACTTTAGCTGAGTGTAACGTTGACAAATCATTCATTTAGTTTTTTTTATTACAGATCTTTCAAGAGTTTACACTTAGCTGATGATTTATAAAAGCTTGTTTGGCATGCTGTCCCGGGAGGGAGCCCCGAGCTCAAGGGCTCCTCGAGCACGGGGCTTCCTCCCGTTGGCAGAGCGAGAGGGGAGCCTGAGCTCGGTGCTCAGAACTGCTGCGGTAGCTAAGGGAACACAAGGGGTTAGACAAAAGCTTGATTGTTATGTATGTTGAATGTCTTTGGATGGTGGGAGGAAACCGGAGAACCAGGGGAAAACCCACGCGGACACAGGGAGAACATACAAACTCCTCACAGAAACACCCACCGGTCCTGTGGAACCAGGGCTGGCAGTGTTCTTGCTGTGGGGCTCACAGTGCTAACCACTGGGCCACCGTGCCACCCAATCAGAGGTAAGAGAGGAGAATAGGGGAGGAGTGGGGTTTCTTCCAAACAAAGAAAAAGTGAACTGAAAACTGTGGCTATTTATAGTAGCTTAGGGCTCATATGATTGGAAGATAGTGATTAGCAAATGAGAGACCGGCCGTGATAAATCATAAGCATGTGATCCTCTCGAAATTAGTTTATGAATAAACTTCACTTAGGGTAAGGCACTGTGGTAAGGTAAGATGAACAGGGTAAAAATATTTAATAATTGGCCAGTTACATAATATAAAAAAAATTGCAAGAAAAAATGTATTTCAAGTTTTTTTTTTATGTTATGATTTAATATGCAAACATTCTGGAGTTCTGGATATAATAGTGTAAATTTAAGTTCAAGTAAAAATGTCTAGAGACAATCTAGAGAAAACTACCTTTTAAATTTGTTATATTTAAAGTGCTTTGTTATATTTGTTAATTTGCTAATATTATAGGAAATACTGTGAAAATGTCCATGCTCTGTTAAACATCATTTGGGAAATATTTAAAAAAGAAATAAAATTCAAAGGGGGCTAATAATTCTGACTTCACCTGTATGATTATCAGGATACGAGATATGATTTGAGACTTTTTCATGTTGCCCAGCCCTAATACATATTTTTTATCTAGTTTTCTCTAAATTCACTTCAGCAGCACTTACATACACCAAACCTTATAGTTTTAGTTAAGTGTGAGTAAATGGTGAACATGTTTGGGTGAACAATCTCTTTAAAATACATTATTCACTAATTCTTTACTTGTTTCAAACCTTTAAAATTTTTTTACCTCTATTGGGCATGAAAGAAAATATTTTGACGAAAGCTGGAAACCTGAAACCATTGACTTCCATAGTATTGGGGTTTCCTACTATGAAAGCCAGTGGTTATAGGATTTTAGCTTTCTTCAGAATACGTTCTTCAGTAAAACTCATAAAGCTGACCTTGATGCAGTTGTGTAAGGAGTCCAGGCTTTGTTTGTGAATCTGAGCTTGGTCACTGAGAGAAGCTGACCTCAAATCATCCGCCTGCTTACACACCTGGAATAGCACAATCAAACCAAGCCAAGCTGATTCAGACTATTACATTATGTCAGAATAATCCGTGAAAATCTTTCAGTAAATAAATAGATTTACATTCTGAAGCTCCTCTTTATGGCTTTTGGTTAACTGCAATGTCAGTTTCTCAATCTCTTGCTCCTGAGAAGAGATTAATAATCATATGTATATGTACATAATCACAAATATAACAATGATTCACAGTACATTGACTAGTATTCGTTGTTTTTTCAACATTAAAAAAAAGAATATTCAAAACACAAATCTTTTCTAACAATTCAAAAGTCACTTACACTTGTTTTGATACAATGAATGTAATATTGATAAATAATAATTAAGATATCTTCAACAACAGAAAAAAATGAGACTGTATTGCATACCATGTCTTTTTTAGATCTGTTCTGCATTTCTCTCAGGTTTAAGCTGTGTGCCTCTCTCAGTGAACAGAGCTCCAGAAGAAGGCCTTCCTTCGCTTCTTGCGTCCCTTGCAAAAGCAATTCCTTTTGGGCAACAATTCTCTCCAGTGCCCCAAAACGCTTTATTTGATGATCTAGATGCTTCTGTGAGGCCTGCAGACATACAGTTAATAAAACGATATATTAGATACTCAAAGCACTGACATGGCTGATTGAGAAGATTAAATAATCGAGAACCAGTTTTATCTGTTCTTTTTCTCTGATGGCATGAAGCAGCTGCTTCTCGAGCTCACTGTATTTCTCCTGGAGGCTCCTGCTGTCCTCCTCTCTCTGCTCCAGCTCCTGATTCACCTCATCCAGCCTCTGAGACAGACAATCAAAACAGCTGCATGTGGACAAATTGTAGGCTATATCTATCTGTATTTGCAATCTATATTTATTGTGCAGACAAAATTAATGTAGACAACATGTTAATGCCCTTTTTAATTTGGTCATTAAGTTACTTAAGGATTGTGTCATCAAAATGGATTCATTGAGTCTGAACTTTGATTAATTGCAAAAATAGAATTTAGCAAAAAATAATAAGAAATTGTGCTTATTTTTAAAGCAAAAAGTAAAATAGGGCTTGGATTAGATTACAAAAAATAATAATAAATAGGTTCCTTGAATCTCAGGCTTTGGGAATTTATATTACAAGTAAAGCTTTATATTGCAAAAAAAGACTACTTTGTGCCATTTGTTTAATACTGTGGTCACAGCAAACCTAAATGAACATGGTTCTCCAAAATTTTGCTTAAATAAAAAATTTAAAACACCCATTTTAAAAATAGGAATCGAAATTGTAAAAGAAATATTGCAATCCAACAACTGTATAAAAATATTGTACAGTGTTGTTTGAGTACAGACACTTACCTATGGCAATGTGTCATGTGTGCTGTATTACTAGTGATCCACAGTACCTCCTGCATAGAGTCGAGTGTGTTCCTGAAACGCCTTTGTTCTGAGAACAACTCAGATTTGGCATTTTCCAGCAGTCTGTCCATCTCTTCCCTCTCCAGAACAGACACGCTGCGGCTTACACACTGACCGAGAAAAAAAAAAACACACAATAAAAATTGTTACACAATCAAACACAATTAAAGTATTAATTGTCAAAGTCTTTATTTCTATAGCATTTTTACAATGTAGACCAGGGGTTCCCAAACTTTTCAGCTCGCGACCCCCAAAATAACAATGCCAGTAACTTGCGATCCCCAATATTCTTTGAGGTGGTTATAAATACAGAAAGCTTGCATGCAATGGGGCGCACACACACCAATAAACCCAAGTCTATTCTTCGTTATATTTTTTTTAATGTATGTCAGTGCTGTAAATGTGCCAGAAAGTTTAACCTGCTATTATAAAATCAATCTGCTGCATCTGACGCTATTGCTGAGTCTTTAATATAATGTAATTACCTGAGGGGTCGCAATCCAATAGAACTAGTAACTATAAGCTACTATAGTAACTATATACAGTAGTGTATTTAGTAACTGTAAACGACTATTTTTTTAGTAGGTTATGGATTAAAATGTTAATTCTTATGGTTTAATAAAAATAAATAGATTTTTGGAAACCACCCCTTCATTGTCCCGTGACCCCTCGGGGGGTCCCGACCCCCACTTTGAGAACCACTGATGTAGATTGTGTCAAAGCAGCTTAACATAGAAGTTGTAGTAAATTGAGTTTTCAGAGTCGAAGTTCAGTTTAGTTCAGTTCAGTGTGGTTTAAATTTCATTACTAAAAATGTATCTATCGTTGCGCAGCTCCCCAAGTCCCGATTACTATTTTGGGCTGCACTGTGTTTCCTAAATAGAGTATTTTAATATATCATTAAGTTATTTTTGGTATACTATTGATACATTGATTAATGGCTAACATAAACTCCTAACATTTATACTTGTTGTTTTCCTACTTTTAAATACATCAACAAGAGTGACCTTTTGCCCTTGCAGAACCCTGACCTCCTCCAAACATAAGTCCCTCTGGGCCTGCAGTCTGTGTAGCTCACTCCTAAAGGACACACGGAGCGCTTTAAAAAAATTCTGACAATATACATGGATTTTACGCACAAAACTTAAAGACATAAGTGTGTATTAAAGCAAATGAAATGAATGTTCCAGTGAGTGGCACATACATGATGTTCTGGACCTGTGCTCTGCTGTCCTTCACACTGAGCTGTACAGAGAGATGCTCTCTTTTAGATTGATCCACTTCCTCTCTCAGCTTCTGCAGAGTATGAAGCATACCCTGAGAAAATTACAACACTTTTACTTAAGGAACAAGCTTTTTAGTATTTTGAATGGATAACTAAGAGAATTACACTGTGTTAATTCATACTGTTTTTTGCTGTTGAAGCTCAGCAATTGAAATCCTCAGCTCTCTTAGCGGATTGCCATCATTTCTGCTCTTGTCCAATGTTTTTTCTGTGCCCTGTGATACATGATAATAATGCATTCCATTATTTCTACTGACAGTTTTCATTTCAGTAAAACACACTTAGGCCTTACAATGTGGGGCTCGTTCCTTCGACTCTTGTATAAATTTCTCTTCCCCTTTCTGCCAGATGAATGTCTCCTTCTGTAGAAAAGCTTTGATTTGGCACCTTCACTGCTCGTCTCCTCAACAGTTCTCTCATCATCAGAGCTAAAACACACAGAGGAATCTTAAGGAATGGTTGTGTTTAGTTAAGTACATATACGGAAGCTCTATTGGTAATTTTTATTGCATAAAGTGTGTTGTCTTTTGTTTCAAATCAATATAATATGCTGTCGGTGGCTCAGTGGTTAGCACTGTCACCTCACAGCAAAAAGGTCGCTGGTTCGAGTCCCAGCTGGGTCAGTTGGCATTTCTCTGTGAAGTTAGCATGTTCTCCTCGTGTTGGAGTGGGTTTCCTCCAGGTGAATTAGATGATCTAAATTGTTGTAGTGTAAGAGTGTGTGTGTGTGTGTGTGTGTGTGTGAATGCCAGAGTATGTGGGTGTTTTCCAGAAATGGGTTGCCCCTGGAAGGGTAACCGTTGTGTAAACATATGCTGAAATAGTTGGCGGTACATTCCGCTGTGGTGACCCCTGATAAATAAGGGACTAAGCCAATGGAAAATGGGAAAATTGAATAATGTGCTGTTTTCAGTCAAATGTATTTTTCATTCATTAATTCATTTAGATTTATTCAAACAACATAAGTGACCTGAAGATTACTACAACTGCAAAGATCCAAAGATACTCTGATGGGTTTCTGAATAAACTCTTAGAAATTGCAGCAAATCATGACAAAAATTATTAAATGATTTCTTTGGATTTTCAAATTGAACTTCATTTTTTAAAAACTGAAAAGTACCTGAAGGGTTGACCATTGTTTTGGATGGTTTGTCCTGTACAGTATTCATTTTCTCGGCTAAGACGAAAAGCTGTACATAAGAAAAAATGAGAATATTTTTAGAACTCAATTACATGAACATATTATGGACAGCAAAGCAAAGCAATTGTGCAGAATATTAAAGGATTCACATCAATGAAATTGCAAATGTATTTAGCATGGAATTTGGCACACACACCTGTCCTGTTGCCGAGTGCAGACTTCAGGTGCTGTCGAACCTGTTCTGAGCACACGGTGTCCAGATCAGTGTCGATAGTGACTGAATCAAAACTCTGCATGGGAATTCCTGCCAGAAGACATTGATTGGATATTATATGTTTTCTGAATACTACAACAGTTTAGTGCTTATTACAATAATCTTATAAATGATACTACAGTACTACTTATGTACCTGCCAGGTGTCTCACTGGTGTTCTGGACTGATGCTGTAGTTTCCCCGATTGCTCCACACTGGTGAGAGCATCTGGAGCTACAGAAGAAATTAATACTTATAATGTGCACATGGAGCGCATGAGTTGAACAGCACAAATTTTGTTTGGTGCTTTTAAAAACATGAAGGTTTAAAAAACTTAATAATACAATTAACAATTATTGAAGCACAATTTGCATGCTTTTATTGCATTCTGGCTTTGAGGAGGTATAAATGTACAGACATTTAGAGAGGCATGTAATGCAATTTAACTGTTTTATCCTGATTATTGTTATTTAAAAACATGGATGCCTAAATCGAAACTGAATTTTGAGTATTTACACAGCCTTGGTTAATTTTATTATGGTGGACTCGTATCAAACTTGACTTTAGCTTGAAGTAGCTCCTTATGTCCACATTTGCACAGTGAAGGGGGACTAGAAAATGTTCTTGTTTTGGCTCTTCTCACATCCGAATGCAAGTACAGCTTTCAGTCACTTGACAGCAAAAAAAACTCCTAGCCAATCACACTGTCCATATGTGTTTAGGAAGGGAGGACCAAATAAGAGGACATGATTTAACCCTTTCAGCACCTCTAGGTTACCAAGGGTTGACAGAGCATTATTCTATTTTGAAGGCGATTAAATTATTAGTGGGGACATTTCAGCAATTGGTGGATATTGGTGGGGACACGCCCACTCCATACATGCCAGTTCTACACCCTAGCTATAATCAAATACAACAGTTACTTCAAATTGAGCTGATACACTGCCCGTCCAAAAAAGTTACCACATAGATTTAAGTAGCCAAATAGGTAGAAGCCTTCCATTGGATACTTACTGCATGGGTAATTATGTTTTAGCTGGTCACAAGTTATTAATTTAACCCTAACTAATGCAAAAAGCATATTAATACAACACTGTGGGGGCAATGCTATGATCTCTGACAAACTCAAAACATGCAATTCTGAGTGTGTCTTATCCAGGTGAGTGGGCTTGACAAACCACATGTAGAAAACACACTCTTTCATCTCTCTGTCATTTTAACCAACTCTTGCACAAGATATACAGTAGATGAAGCAGACCGGAATTATGCTAGCTTGAAAACTCAAACACAAACATTAAAAACCAGGTTTTAACTACTTCAATGTAAATGTTTATAGAGAATGTATATAACCCCTGTTAATATTCCAGATGTGTCACTGCCTCTGGCAATTTCCTAAAAAACAAAAGTTTTGGAAAGACATAATTGAATGCATGTCAGACATGTTTAATATTAAAATCCCTTTAAATGCCAAGCTCGGTATTCTTGGTTTGTATCCTATGGAACTTACAATTGGAAAGACAAAAATTTTGGATTTTGGTTTTCTTCCATCTAGAAGGGCTATTGCATTATACTGGATACACATGGATGGTCCATCCATAGAAATGTGGAAAAAATAAATATTTAACTGTATTGGACTGGACAGACTTCAGCATCAACTTAATCATCAAAGGCAAGCCGAAGGACTTTGACTATCTTTGGGAACATATATGAATATTATGTCAATTGTGTGTTCGTAAACATGTATTTAATTTTTTTTTATTGCATTATTGTTTTTCTTATTTTGTCATTATATATTTTTCAATGTTTCAATTAATTATTTTTATTTATTTATTATCCTTTTTATTTAAATATTTTATTATATATTTATTTTTTTAGTTATGTTATCTGAATGTGTATATGTATGTGTGTGTGTGTGTATATATATATATATATATATATATATATATATATATATATATATATATATATATATATATATATATATATAAAAAAGGAGGGTGTGGATATGTGTTGTGTAGGCTGCATTGTTACTGTATGCCTAGTTTATGGGGATGAAAAGGGAAAAATATCAATAAACATATTTGACAAAAACAACAACAGTTGCACCAGTTTTGCACATTTGTACCAGACACTTTCTTACGATCACTTAGCATCTAAACAAACACAAAACAAAACATGTGTTCTATGTGTTTTTTAGGGAGTATCACACAGGTGAGTGGGCTTGACAAACCACCTGTAGAAACACTCTTCTCTCTAAAAAAATACTCCCCTTTCCTATCTCTAGGACTTAATTCTTTAAGTACAAATAGTTTTTTTTGTATAATTAGCACTTACAGTGTGTATTTACACTTATTGTTGCTGAATGCCTCCTCAATTATAAGTTGCTTTGGACAAAGCTTCTGCTTAATGTAACTGTATCTGGGGAAGCTGCCGTTGGTCATGTTCAGCTATGTTATGTGCCCAAGGAATGAGGTCGGTTGACTGCCTAAATATACTGAACGACCAGGTTATTCCATCAATGTTTTTTCTTCTGTGATGACAGGCATATTCCAAGATGACAATGAATGCCAGGATTCATCAGAATTGTGAAAGGGTGGTTCATGGAGCACATGGAGACATTATTTTTACACATGGATTGGCTACCAGAGAGTCCAGACCTTAACCCTGTTGAGAATGTTTGGGATGTGCTGGAGAAGGCTTTGTGTAGTGATCTGACTCTACTTTCATCAACATAAGAGCTTGGTAAAATTTTCATGCAACTCTGAATGGGAATAAATGTTGTGACATTGCAGACGCATATTAAAATGCCACAGTGAATGCATGCCATAATCAAAGCTAAAGGCGGTCCAACAAAATATTAGTGCATGACATTTTCTTTAAATGGGCAGTGTATTTTACAATATAACCATGATAATAATTAATGATTTAATAAAATAAAAAAAGTATAAGTACATGAAATGATTTATTTTCAGCATCATTTTTATCAAATCTGAGCCACATATGGAAGCACATGGTAAGATAATCCATTAAAACTATGGTGCCTACACTTTATTACTTTGACTTGTCATAACCGTTGAACAACAGCCAATTAAAATATTTTATATTTTGTTAGAAATACCATTATACTTGACAAATATTGAGTGTGTGTTTGTGTATGAGAAGATAGTTTAAAAAGACACAACTGATATAAATATCGGAACTCATATTGTTTAAATTTCAGTTCTTGTTTACATAATCAGTCGGTCATTATGAATGTTTATGACCTCTCGCTCAGTCTGTGTACCTGAGGTTGGCAGGACTAGCATTTCATCTCTAAAGCGTGTTGAGAAGTCCTCAGTACAGACGCTGTTCATCGTGAAGTCGTCCTCCTCATTTCCTATTCCTGCCACCTCTGTATTTCTTCCAAGAAGCTTCTCGAGCCTCCAACGACACTGCTCTACCCTGGACATTGAGCTCAAGCTGGATGGATCTCCTTCAGGATTCTGTAACCACACTTCTGTAACTGTGGCTCCAGTTTTCCTCATTGACTGGTGGTCTACATGTTCATCACTGACTTCTGAGAAATGGAACAGGAAATGATTATGGATTTTTTCCCCTATATTGATCATTGTTAGTCATATTAGTAACATACAAAAAATTTTTACTGCAAATTTACTTTACTCTGTCTGCCTTCAGAACACAGTTTAAATGATAATGTACGTTATAGCAGTAAAGTATAAGTACTTTATACTTAATATTCATAATTGTCTACTTTGATCAATAGTTTGAATATCATTTCATTATATATTTCTATCTATAAATGATTAATTTAGAATGCATTACCTGAGCGAGTCCAGTCAGGAGTGGATGGTGTTTTTTCATTAGTTGGAAAAGTGCTGCTCCCCAAGCCTGTGTCTTTACTTACAGACTGATTCCCGTCTAGACAGCCTGGAATATAGAAAGTATTATAAACACAGATGGATTTTAAAATAATAAATATATAGGATAAAAATGCATAAATAAAATCTGCAAATTTCACTTAAATTGTTATAATTTTTTATATAAATTTTTACTAATTTGAATTACATATTGTTTCTTTTACAAAATGACTTACTCAAAATAGGACACTCATATCTTTCTTCATGCACTTGCTTGTGGATCTATTGGTGGAATACAAAATCAGGTCTAATTCTTTACCATTTTTCCTGGTTATCAACATTTCATCAGATGGTAAGTGCTTGACCTGTAGGTGACTCAGCTGACTGTCAATGGTGTCCAGAAGCACATCACAGCAATCATGAGACAGAGGTATGAGACCGTAGACATCAACATCATCATCCACATCTGAGAAGACATGACATGAATTTTGCCAATAAACAAATGCATGGGCACAAAAAGTAAATGTCAGGTGGTCTGACCTGCAGAGAGCAGCTCATCTGTGTTTTCTCCAGATCCATCATTTTCCATGCCTGTTCTAAAAAACAAAAAATCCTTCATGCATGAGGTTGTTTTGAGAACATTTGTCTTCATTTGTGAGCTAGAGTAGAGGCAGACTGTTTAAGGGGGAGCTGCTGGTTTTGTGGTTGCCTAGGAAACACAACAGAAGGGGTCTCCAATGAACTAGTTAGAAAGACCCTCATGAAGTAAACAGAAGCCAAATTTTTTTGTTGTTGCAAAAAACAGTTGACAAGTTTGTAGCAATACGTGTTTACAATACAGAATATAAATTACATTGTCAATGAAAAAAGATACAAGAAAGAAAGAAAGAAAGAAAGAAAGAAAGAAAGAAAGAAAGAAAGAAAGAAAGAAAGAAAGAAAGAAAGAAAGAAAGAAAATGATATAAACTTGAGGGTAAGACATTTAAGAATCAATTACAGTACATAAATTAAAGTCATTACAACATGAAATAGTTATTTTTGCTTTCTTATTTTTAGATATTGAAATTAAATGTAAATAATGACTAAATTCCTGCAAAAAAGGAGGAAAATATGGTTTGGTATTAGTAAATTTGCATTTGTGGATAATATGGAATTTACAAAGAAAATAAATTACATTTATAACAAAACAAGCATTTCTCTTAGTAGAAGCAGATTCATAATAACCGAAAATAATTTCTTTAAGAGTAACAGAAACATTTGGCTGTATGTTATCATTAAAAAATGAGCCAATGTTTCCAAAATTGTAGCCTGCCCTACAGCATAATTACAATCCCAACAGAAGCCAACTTATCACAGATTTCACAAGAGAATTATGCAAAGCAGCATCTTAAATATACCTTTATTTACTAATAAGTTAGATAGGTTAAAGTAAACCGTGTTTTAACACATAATAGCTTTTTTCACCAAAAAATGACAATAATTGCACCGCAGTAGTTCTCAATCGATTAATTATCAGCAGTTAAAACAGAATTTTCCCTCAGAACTTTGAAATGTATCATTACGCAAGCATTAGTTGGGTTGTTTAATAAGTTTTAGGTTTTACACTTACGTTTCTCCACTTGACGTCTTTTCTCTTTAAAAACGAACAACGAGCCTGGACAGCAGAAATTGGTTGGCATGTACACATTCATTCGCCTCAGCGTCATGGCAACCACAACTGCCTGCTGCGCCGCAAACTTGAAGAGATTTATGTTTTTGGTTTGTTTGCAATGCAGTAAAGTGTTTTTGTTAGATAATGTTTATATATACAGATATATTTTAATACATATTAATTATATAAATAACATATAATGAGCAGAAATAAGCACAATTTATGAATTGTGTCTTTACTACACTAAAAAAATGTAAATAGTCGTGGGGAGTTTTTTTACTACTATCTGGCAACTCCCGCCCTCTCGCAAATATCGCGATAGAGCTGATGTGCTCGCGCTGACAGTGCAGTGAAACAAGTTTCCATCCCTGATGATTAGCAATTTCAAAACAGTAAGTACATTTACCCTTGACTGCATTGAATTCAATATTATATTCTACCATGTCTACCGAATCAGGCTAGTACATACGCTTTTCGTGAGTATGATGTTTGGTAAATTTAGATTTACTGTGAATTAGTATGCTAACCAGTTAGCAGAATAGTATTGTAACTGATGTCATCATCTTGTATCTTTTAAAAAGATCATTAAATCTCAGAAAATGTAAACCCAGTAAGTACTTGACGGATACTTTAACTTACGCCAATATGCCTCTTTCTTTCAGCGTTAGAAAAGAGAGTTTACCATGTTTGCTCTGGAATAGAAATCGATATTAATATAGTTATTTCATCGTAAAATCGTGACGTCTGATTACATTGTTGTGTCATTATAATGTTGGTTCATGAAATATTAAAATCCATTTGAGAAGTTGTTGTCTACACTCCAATGGCCAGTAACGTTACTTGCTGCTGTGAAAGTAACAGCCTCACTGTTCGACAGGTCTTGAACTTTTCAGTTTCCACTATCCTCTGTTAAGTAGTAGTCATTCAAATCGTATGTGTATTGTCCTTTTTTTCTCAGGCGAAGTAAAAAATGGCCTCATACTTTGATGAGCATGACTGTGAGCCCACGAATCCAGAAGAACAGTACAGACAGAACGCGCTGCTGGAGCTGGCGAGGTAACCGACACCACAGCGCCATCTAGCGGAACTAAACACATTCAACTCTCAATAAACTATTTACTAACTCTGTTAAAGGGTTAGTTCACCCAAAGATGATATTTCCTCACCATTTACTCACTCAAGTTGTATGATTTTTTTTCTTCTGTTAATCATGCTGTTAATCATGAAACAATATATTCTAAAGAATGTTTAACTCATCATTAGTTGGAACAAAAATGCTATGGAAGTCAGAAGTTGTTGTTTTCAATATTCAGTATTTTTTGTATTCAACAAAAAGAAAGAAACTCAAACTAAATTTCAACAAGTGGAGGATGAGTAAATGATGACAGAATTCTCTTATGTTATTAAAAATGCCATTCAATGATATATTGAAACAATATTCCGTATATCTATTGAAACCCATGTTCAAATGTAAAAAAAAATCTAATTTGAAAGAATATCATTTATTTTAATTAATTAAAAGGTGTTATTTGCAGTAATACCATGGTAAAACATGATTACATTTTTATTTAATTCGCTTATAAATTTGAAGTTGCTGGTCCTTTTATTTTATATATTTTTTATCCAAAGAAACCTGGAATGTGATCATGGAAAGACAAAATGACATGTACCATATATTTTTAATGCCAAGATAAATAATGGAGGTTTTTTGAAAATATTTTTAATAAGTTTTTTATAAGTACAAAACAGAACAAAAACAATTATACAATCCATAATATGTTTTTATACAAATAATAAGAAAAAAAGAAATAAGTAAATCAATTTAAACAAAAAACAAACAAGCACCAGTCCATCTAAACATGCACCATATAGAGTAAATAAAATATACCATAAAGTTTAACTTGATCAAACTCAAAACATTGAAAAGAAAGCGCCCTACTTTCAACTCTTAAAACAATGAGCAAAGAAGAGGCCCCAAACTTTTCAAACTCTTTAGAAGCATCTGCCCTAGCAAAACTAATTCTTTCAAGTTTAAGAGCAGCAACCATTTCAGTCAGCCATTTATGAAAATAGGTGGTGAAGTGGACTACCAATCCATCAAGATCACCCTTTTAGCCACCACCATACCAAACATAATAGACATTTGCTGATTATGTGACCATGCTAACACAGGCTCAGAGTATGCAAACAGGGCTAATTCAAAATCTGAACTAATGTTTTCTCCAACAGAAATGATACCCAATGACGGTGGTTTACTGTTCCAAAATATTTTAAATGTTTCTCAAAATAAAATATATTGTGTTCAAAGCATAAAAAGTTTTAGTTTTTTACCCAGACATTTAAAAAGAATGTATTTTAGAGCAGTAATGGCAATCGCAATACCGTCAAATTGTGATATTTTTACCCAAGGTTATTATACCGTCAGAATCTTATACCGGCCCGTGCCTACTATGTACCACTTTAAACTGTATAAGTTGTAATCTAACATCGATAAAACGGGTATGAATTCACTTCAGCCCCTCTTCCCAGGTATCATTTGAAATGTTAATTCCAATATCCTCTTCTCATGCCAATTCATGGTGATCAGAAGATACAGCAAATCGGTAGACAAACAAACAAACTGCGTCACCAGATGTTTGGTCATAGGAGGTTACACAAAAGATTGTATATATTATGGTCCTGTGGCAGTTCTTGAAACTCAGTAAAAGAATGTTTTATGTAATGGCGCACCTGTAAATAGTGGAAAAATTGTGACTCTGAGAGGTTAAAAGCTTTATACAGCTGTTCAAATGTAACGAATTTCCCATCTACAGTATATAAAAATCTTTGCCTGTGGTCAATTCTTTACTTCTCCTTCATGAAAATATCTTATCTATAATGGAGTTTGTTTAATAATATTTGTAAACTAAGTACAATTTGTAATAAAAAAAAATAATAATAATATTAGTTTTCAGTTACAGTACTGTTCAAAAGTTTGAACTCCGTTATTTAAAAAGTAAAAAAAAGTAGTAAGGATGCGTTAAACAAATTAGAAGTAAACTGTCATTAATAGTGAAGCCAACTATGCATTAATAATGCCATAAATTGTAATTGTTTTTTTTTTAAATGTACATTATTTTTATCTGAAATTTCTGAAACAAGAGGAATTCAAATGGATTTCACTTTTCATGTAAATATTAAGCAGCACAACTTTTTTTTAAACATCAATTATAATAAGTTTCTCTCAAGCAGCAAATCAGAATATTAAAGGATCATTCAATTAACAAAGAATTCGCATTAATTAGTAATGAAATAGTGAATTAGCATTAAAATTGGTATCATCTGTACTAAAATGTGTTTGAATATGACACGATAGAGCTAACTTTTCTATTCTTTTTTTTTTTTTTGCGGCTGCAGGTCTCTGATGCAGGGTCTTGACATAGACTCGGGTTCATTTGATTTGTCTGACTGGGATCAGCGTCTTCCTCCTCCTGCTGCAAAAGCTGTGGTTCAGAGTCTTCCTGTGGTCATCATTTCCCCTGAACAAGCAGGTGACACAACACTCATTCACAACTCTCAAACCACACTTTGACAGCAGACATTATTACACGAAAGAACTGGCAGTGAAGAAAACTGCTAATAACATTTGGTAGACTGTGTGGTGTCAATGGCAGCAAGTCAATTTCTGAGGCTCTTTCTTTGTTTGTCAGATAAAGGAGTAAAATGTCCTGTGTGTTTGCTGGAGTTTGAGGAGCAGGAGTCGGTTAGAGAGATGCCCTGTAAACATCTGTTTCACACTGGATGCATCTTGCCTTGGCTTAATAAGGTATGTTTAGATGGGATTTTAATATTCTCTGACCAAAACACCAGATGAGATGCACAAGTTAAAGCCAACCTTGATTAAAATTCATACATTGTTTTCTGTGAGTGAACTTACATTGGTGACACCATTTGTAGGGCTTTATTTTAGCTCTGCTTTTAATGTCCCAACTTATTCTGAAAAATATATATATTATAGTTTTGTATTTGTACCTATCCTAAAGGCTCTTCTTTGCTGACTGCTAGTAGTAGTGTTCGGTCAAAAAAACCCACTATTTAATGGTACTGTAGCCAATCATTTTGTGTTATAATTGTTAATTGTGGTTCGATGTGTGAGCGCCTTTGGAATAGTTTCAATGGGCGAACGCTGTTGGGATCGATGACTGTGAGGTAGAGATCTGCGCGGGACTAAATTTTAAATCCCGCTTCCGCCCGCACCCACCAGGTTTTAGCCCGAACCCGACCGCTCCCGCTTACATTCAGCATTTGTTGTCCCGCTGCCCAACCCGCCCCGTTTTCTACCCGCCGTGCCCGATCCCACTAAAGAGCGGGGGGAGAACAAAACCGAACACCACCCAGCTATACAGAGTCCAGACAGCCTATAACAAGCTGTCTGTATAAACACACACACATAAGCACCAAGCACACACACAGGCAAAGCTCTCTCTCTCTCTCTCTCTCTCTCATTCGTGCGCGCACACACACACACACACACACACACACACACACACACACACACACACACACACACACACACACACAGCAACAAACAAGCTAAACACAGCATCGCGCTATTTAATTTACACGCATACATACGCGTGCTTGCTCGGGAGTCGGGAGCGATATTGCTAGACGGCCCGCTCCCGTCCCAAATTAAACCCGTTACCGACCGCTCCCGTGCTTTTTTCGGAAATTTATTCCCGCGCCGCAGAAATCTGGTCGGGTCCCGCGGCTCGAATGCAAACCTCTACTGTGAGGTGGGATTTTTCTTTTGTAACTACCTCAAGACCAGTTGTGAGAGGGAAATATTTAAGACACTTCATCAGTAGTGTACCTCAGATGTATCGAGTGTTTCGACTCTTCAAACACTAGACACCCTCATCTGAGGGGGTCAGCCTTGGTTAATCAATCCCAGTTCAGCGTCTTATTGCCAGTTTGTAATAAGGATTTGACCAGGGGGCTATTTCATAAAAGTGGTTAAGAAAAGCGGGGATTAAAGTCAAAAGCCTGACTTCAATGAGCTGAACTAAAC